GAAGGATGACGTTGATTTAGGACTGTGACTTTGACCTTCAGGGGTATTATGGTAATGTGGATATTTATGTCAATGGATCATTGATGGCTATAGGTGTTGGAGTTGGAGGCAGTGCTTCAGGATTCTGTTTTCGTGGTTCGGTTTAGCAAATTTCAGGTGAGTTATCCTCACTATGTCAGCAGGGTCTATGGCACCAAGGCCGGCCCTATATCGGAAGGGAATCCGGGTATTTGTTTGATATGTTGTTGATATGCTAGATCTGCATCCTGGTAATTAGGATGGTATTATGTTAGTGACCCGGTTAAGGTCGGTATCCTAGTATATAGGGTAATGTTATGTTAGTGACCGGTTAGGTCAGAATCCTGGTTAGGATGTTGTTATGCTGTATAATCTGATAGACCCGTTTTCTTGGCTCAGGATTGTTATGAGATTAATTGTTTTATGTGCACACGATTGTTTAACTGGGGTTGGGTTGAAGCGAGTCCTGCTTTGTACTGTAGGCTAACATACCTAGGGCGGACCGGATAGACCGAAGGCCCAACGATTGGTTCGGATAGGCTGAAGGCCCCATGAGGGCGGTCCAGAAGTGTCGAGGCTCGGAGAGTGGACCAGGCCGACTAAAGGCCCGGTGCGGGCGGACCAGTCATACTGTAGACTTAGAGAGTAGACCAGGTGGATTGAAGGCCCGGTGCGGGAGGAGCAATCACACTGTAGACTCGATGTACATTGTTAGACTCAGAGAGTGGAGTAGGTGACTGAAGGCCCGGTGCGGGCGGACCAATCACATTGTAGACTCGTTATGCATGGTTGTTCTGTATTGTGATATGTTATGAGTATGGTTATGTGTGGTTGGTATTTTGGAGGTAACTCACTAAGATTTCGGGCTTATAGTTTCAGTGTTTTGTTTCAGCTACTTCAGGAGATCGTAGCAAGACAATGGCGTGATTGTACCACTCCTCATTTTTACACTCATGTTTCTGGGATACTCTGATAATAATTAAAATGAAAACCTTTTTGTACTGATTCATGGATTTGGGTTGTTTTTGAAAAGTTTAATTTTATTGGAAATTTTATGGATGTTACATGGAAAGCCCACTTTAAACACCTCACTAACTCACAGCCTAGACACCATCCCCGTAAGTAGATCAATTAATTTAACGAATTTAAATCACTGATAAATCTTATTCAAAGAATCATAATAATGATAATGAACTTAAACATGAGTTATACTTAAAGAATGGTATACATAACTCATTTACAAGGGGGTTTAGCTAGGAGTCGGGCTCTGTAGGGGTAGAACTTCTAATCCGAAAACTCTTCTTCTCGAAGCCTTCTGATGCTATGGGCTTTACCTCTAACACTTGGGAAGTCCTAGTGAAGGGGAGGGGCTAAGGGGGGGGGGGGGGGTATTTGAGAGAGAAAGAATGGAAAAGGTGCGAGAAAATGAGGTGATTTACGCCTCTATTTATAGGTTGGAAATAGTGAGTATGCGGGGGGTAAATAACCAGTGTGTTGGGCATATTATAGTACGTTGGCCATACTATAAGTTATGTTAGGCGTACGTGGACATGTGTCACCATCCGGTGGCAAGGCGTGGGGAGAAAGCAATGGTCCAGATCATGCCATGTGTTAGCTTCGGAGCTTAACCCAAAAATTAATTATCTTCTAAATTCCGTAACTTATGCATACGAGCTCCGTTTTTGAAGTTCTTTATATCCACGTGTAGGTAGCGATGTGGTCTCCAGCTTTCTTTTAGACTCTGTAGGCTAATTTTTATTTTATTTTTAAAGTTATATTTTAACAGGCTTAGGTAGATAAAGTCCGTTAAAAATGCATAATTTTGCCATCTGATGTTGTTTTTGTCTGTCCTTATATCATTGAGCTCTTATTAACGAGATTTTCGATTCTTGATTCGACTGTGTAGGCTAAGAATTGATCGATTTAAATTTTGATTTCTTAACTGCATGCTGCTATGCCAAATCTTAGAAAAATCATAACTTCCTCTAACGAATTCAGGTTTGGACATTCTCTATATGCACACTCTCGATTTAACTTATACTAATCGCTAAGGCTAAAAAGTATGTTATCGCAAACTGACTTTTTGACGATACACGGTGTTGTGCCTATTTTGTCGCAAAACTTCGATGGGTCATAACTTATTCGTTATTAGTCGGATTTTAGTGTACTTTATATCTCTGGAATCCTTGTCACGACCACTTCAACTTTCTTCATAGATATTGGGTCTATCTATTATTTTATTTTTGATGCATATTATTATTATTATTATTTTATTACGTTGTTATAAGCACGTATATTGCACATAAATCATATAATACTCAAATAATTCTTCTTCATTACTTCAAAATAAGTTACACTTGTTGACCCTAACTATTACGTCATTATAATAATGTTTAGCCTAGAAACGCAGAAGTTACATGACAAAGCTCATATAAGAGGTTAGAAAAATATTACAAACAACCTAGAGTCGGTAGAAGAGTTAAGCCGACCGACGTCCATCCGAATTGGAGTTCTAGGTCTGGGATATGGTACTCCTAAAAGTGTCGCCTTGGAAAGGCAGTTTTAGATTCAGGAAGTGGGGCAAGCTGCGCCTTAAGTTATGTTCTTCAATATAGATTTTTTTAAATTTTTCAACAACGTGTTTGTTATTTTAATAATGTTATGAATGATATTATAAACAATTCAAGTTCACTTTACATAATTTCAAAGGAGTGTAGTAAATTTCATATAAATACTTTTTTTGTGTTATATTGTCTATAATCAAATATTAATAAATTATAATTATAATTACTAAAATTAACAAATCTATTGAAGCTAACTGAATAAATAATCATGGTCTTGGAATATGGTGTTCGCTAAATTAACAATTTTATTTATTGTTATTTATCAATTATTATATTTAATTATTTTATATAAATATCTTTAAAAATCATATCATCACAATGATCTTTATATTTGATATGCATATGATTAAAACTAAATAAATTTTTTATTAGAATTATGTTTTGTTAGATATAAGGATTTCAGAATAAACAATAAAAGTTGGATATTGCTTGGATTGTGATTACTTCACTTTCCGAAATCTTTAATTCGTCACTTATAACACAGGGTGCACAAATTCAGAAGTGGGATAATCCAAGAAATCTGATTTGGATGATAGGCCTATTCCAAATCTTAAACACATAATACCTTGTGATGTTATGTGTTCTTTAGAGATAGAGATTGATAATGATCACTTTCGTATATATTAATGATCAACCCTTTTCCTGGAATCATTACCTTGTATTTACACAAGGAGGGAAAGGTAGTTCAAAGTTGGTTACACCAAATTGGCACAAAAAAGGTAGGTTTTAGACACAACCGACACTTACATCACCATGATGTCATCAGTACATTTTGGCATGAAGTTTCATAGATGGAATCTTTCCATATATAGAAATTCGTTTAGGTTTTCGGGCGCTGGCCGGAGCCCTGCGATCAAGGACTCTACACCTTGGACCCCACTAAGGGCACTGCCCCTTGGAACCATGTACCCAGAGGCATTAGCCCTGGACCCCCGTATCCCTGAGTTCACATTTAACATTTCGAGAGTGCACCATGCACCTCCAGTCTCGGAACAGAACTTAACATGTCTCGACAATAATAACAATTACACTAAAATATGCTAATAACACTAAAATTACCAACATTTTATACTATTGTATGGTTAATTTTAGTTTATTATATCAGTCTGTCGACGTTAAGAACAAACAGACTTCTATTGCAGTTTGTAGACGTTTAATCCATCTTTTTTATTCGAGAGATTTGCAGATGTGGTTCGCAAACTACAAACGTTTTAGTTTCGAAAAAAACAAACAACACCTACATATTATGCCTCCATATATAAATTTTATTGCCTATAATATTCAAAAATTAAGTACATTTTAGTAATTCTAATTTCAATTATTTAATAAAATTTTGTATATTTGTTTATGTTTTTGTAAATATTCTTTAATTGTTGGTTTATCATCTTACAATCATTTCGTTTGCTTTTTCTTTAATATATTGCTAGTAATAAAATTCACTTGTTCAAAAAAAAAATTATTAAAATATGATAGAAAATAATTTTGTGGTTAAAATGATAACATGATTAAAAGTTATATTTCTTTGGATTTAACGGAATAAAACGTAGTCTAAAAGGATGTCACTATATTATGTATTTTGTCTTATTATGTAGTAACTAATAGATGGTAAATTGTAATCTTTAATAAATAACTTACAAAAAGACCTAATATTTATTATAGAAACAAACTTATGAACAAATTGTATCTATCTAAAAACAAAAGAGGTAATAATTTAATTTGTTTTGGTATTTGATGCAAGGTAAGGCCCCAAAAGGGGATATGTTACTTTATTGTGCGTTATGATCATGAGAATTTTGGTCGGTCTAAGTCATTTTCATTCCAAAACTTGGTTATAGATCAAAAGACAAAGTTGCCCCTTCAAAGACATCAAAAGTTGTGGATCAGAAAACGTAAAAACATCATTTCAAGAAGATAAATTATTAGAAGCTGCTTAAGGGAGGTTGCCTAATACAAACAAAAGTGATTTAAAAGCGTGATCATATTAATGGGTCAGTAAGCATAATAATTAGAGGTGATCAAAACAAACTTGGATTTTAGTTACTTTTATTTTATTTACTTTGACCCCTGAAAATATATAATAGCGGAGGGTAATTAAAGTGACAGATTGGATAACAACTTAAAAAGAAAGATAATAGAAAACTAATGTCTTTGTTTGGTCCATCACTTCTCTCTATTCTAACGAGGGAAAATGACTTATAAAGGTAATTATGTTTCATCTTTGTACGAACAACACTATTTAAGTATACCATGTTCAAAAAATACCATCTAACTACAGAATTTATTCAAAAAATACCATCTAAAATCAAATTTTGCTCTTTGATTCTATCGTGGTAACCGGTTCTGACGGTGAGGAGGTAAATGTTACCGGGAAGAAAAAAAGTAAACAATTACGTGGCTTCTCCCTCTATTACGTGGAATAACCATTTCGCAAAAATCAAAATCACATAGAACACGTTGGAGGTTTTTTCACAGACGGTGAAAGTAGGGTTCGCTTTTCACGCCGATTTTTCACTCAAGGTGCAAGGTATGCTTACTGTCGATGTTTACCATGGTGGGAACTTTGTTCCTAAGCCATTAGTGTACTTTAATCCTTTGAAAAAATCTGTTACAGGAGTTGATTTAAAAAACATGGGGCTTAAGGATTTCATCTTACAGCCTCGAAAATTAACCAAGGAAAGGTGCACTGATGTATATTATTGTCTTCAAATTCGATCTGTGATAGATGGATTGAAAGAACTAAGAGATGATAATGACTATGTAAGGTTTCTTGATGCTAGGTATGTCAATGATTGTAAAATCAATGTGTACATTGATGAATATCAAGAGCCAGTCATGGAGTGGATTGACGAAGAAAAAGTTGAAGAAGGGGACACAGAAAGTGATGAATATGAGGATGATGTAGACTCAGTCATGTCAGATTATATATCAGTGGACCCGTTATGAGAGTTTGCTTTCTTTTATCTTTCTTGTTTTAGTTTTTGTTTGATTTTCGTTTTTAGGATTTTCTTTTTCTATTTTCATCTTCTAAATCATCAAACATGAATCCTTGAGAGTACGAATGGTCTGAGTGTGGGGTGGATTGACTCTTTTTTATGAATACATGACAAAATGATATAATTTTTGAAATGTTTGTGAGTGACTCGGTGAGTCTGACCCTGACTCGACGAGTCTATTCAGAATCCAGATGAGTTTCAATTTGCGACTAGACTCGCCGAGTCTGACCATAACTCGACGAGTCGATATTATTTACATATATATTTTTTTAATAATAATGATAATTTTTACATCTAGTGAAACTAGGGTTTTTACCCTAATGTGATCATATTCCATTCATACTCGCCGTGCGCCTACTCTTATTCCCTCTCAACTACTCATCAAGTTCTTCAATTTTTCTTCAAAATTCTTGAATTTCATCAACCAAGGTACTTAATTTCTTCAATAATTCTATTAAACTAATGATTTTTAGATGTTATAAAGTATCAATTTTATAGAACACCCGTTTTTGAAGTTTAGTGAATTTTTAGGGTTTTGATTTTGGATTAACTGTGGTGTTTTGGATGAATGTACTCTTGCTCTAATACACCTTATGGACATCCCTGGACAAACTCTTGGACAAATTTTGAGATTTTATGGGTGCATTGGCACTGACCCGTCGACTGACTCGTGCAGTTCATCAGACTCGCCGAGTCGTTCCTGGACTCGACGAGTCCAGTCAGGAACCCAGAAAGATTTTGTTTTTTAATGTGTTTCTGTGTCTTTTGGATTGTTTGTTAATTGTTTTACAGGAACCATGTTTTCACGGGGACAAAGCTCTCGAGAAAGTCAAGGAAATTTTCCTTGGTTGCATTTTCCACAAATCAACTCAAATTCAACAAGAACCAAGTGGAAGAAGAAGCTTGAGGAGCTCAAGAAAAAAGAGATATGTGCTCCCAATACAATTGATTGAGAATGGTTGGGGAATGTTTGTTATGAAGAAGAGTTGGTCCCTTATATAGTCAAGACATTTGTACACAATGGAGTATCCATTACATGTGATGGATGGAGTCGTGTCTTCCGTATTCAAGAACCGATTTATCGTGAGTTGTGCTTGGAGTTCTTTTCCACAATACATTTCCAAGGTGTGGATGATTATTATAACTCCGAAAGTATTACTTTTTGTCTTGGGGGCGAGCTTCGTCATTGTTCTATGGTCGAACTAGCTTGGAGATTGGGGATATAACCAACAAGTAGTCAACACGGGTGCATTTCATACATTTTTGGAGCATTGCCATAAAGTATTTCCGGATGGGATCACAAGTTCAAGTTGGTGGAACACCATTGCTAATAAAGTTTACATTCCGAAGTCGGCTCAAGAAGGGAGCATACAATCACCTACACACCACCTTATTCACCGGCTTATTTCAAACACCATTAACCAAAGGAAAGATGATGACAAGGTTTCTAACCTTGATGTTTTCTTTCTTTAGAACATCATTACACCCAATACTTTTTGCAACATTCTATGGTGCATCGCTTCATACTTGGCGGAGGGAGCAGTCAAGGACCGCAAGACTTCAAAAATTAATGGTGGCATGTTCGTGACACATTTAGCCCACTCTTACGGGTTAATGACTAGTGGTGCTTGGAACTTGCTGATGGAGATCCCGACATCTCCCTTTAATCCTATTCTCTTTTGCAGGGCACACATTATTGAAGATTATGGAGGAGGTCATTATGCTATCCCACATGACGATCTGGTGGTCGGGCCCGAGGCGCTGGGATGGAGGGTTCGATCGATACGTGAGCGGGAAGTGGAGGAGGAACCGCCGGTGATTCCGGTGGACAATGACGAAGTACCAATGGATTGGTACAATGTCAAGATGATGAGGCTCCAAGAACAAATGGAGAGGGGTATTAATTTTAGCAACGAATCCCACGTGTGACTTTTTGACCATTTTCATATTCCACACATTGATGGGGTAACTGCCCCTACATTCATTCTTGGGATGAGGTCGTTAACGCAAGGCAGAGTGGAGCTGGTGGGAGTGGGGCTGTGCATGGCCATGATGAGGAAGAAAATGATGATTAGTTTCTTTTATGTCTTATTGAACAATTTTTATTTGTTTATTTTATTTTGTTTGGTGTGTTTTAAATTCTTAATTAGGACTTAAACTCTTATGTGCTTGATGTTCTATTTGCCTTGGTTTATTTCAGAATTTGGTTTAGGAAATGCTTGCATAAGGAGTCTAGAGTATGTGAGAAAAACATGGAAACGAGTCAAGAAAGGTCGACGTATTGATTCTAAGTGTCGAGTCCGGTCCGAAAGGGTTTATGAGTGAACGTTTACTGAAGCTATGGGAAGTTTTGAAGTCCACTAGAAGTTGTATTCAGAACAACGTTAATTATTTTTCACCCAGCGATGACTCACCGAGTGCGGTTAACCTACTCGACGAGTCGCAATATATTTTCACGATTTCAACAATTTCGCACTATTACTCGACGAGTCGTTTATATGACTCGACGAGTCCTTCATTTATCTACCACAAAGGCTGCTGACTTGATGCTGATGGCTGCACCACTTGACCACTTATTCTTTGCAGTCAATTCCTCAAGTTTTTACAGTATTTTTCCTGCACATTTGAAGCTACCGACATGCGATTTGATGCCCAAGACATGGATGAGTTGTTCCCATGGCTAATGTCGATTGAAGTAGGAGCTTAATAGAAGATGATCAACCTATCAACTGCTACCCCAGGGGAGTTTGTTCCAATTCACTCTATATTATTTTTGTTTTTCTTTCATGCAATACATGCAATGAGGACATTGCATGAATTAAGTGTAGGCTAGGGGGTTGATTTCCTCAAACTTAATTTAGAATCTTAATGTCCTAATTTAGGTCAACTTTAAAAATTTTAAATTTTTGAATGTCAAAAATGTTGCTTACGACTTAATTTAGAAAATTTTGGTAAAAAGGAATTAGGATTCCATGTTAGAATTATGTTGATGATTGCATGAAGACCCAAATGTTTAGTTGAGCCTATATAGGTTCTAGTGCATTTGTGGCTTCTTTATTCCAGTGAAATCATGGGACAAAAACATGACCTCGCTTAGTTTGAAGGATGCAATATGTTTAGCATCGTGTACCAGAAATGTATCCAGGAAAATTATTATCGTTAACCAATAAAGGTTGAAGTTGAGCACCCCTGCTTAAGCATCTAGGGTTTTGAGTGAAAAAAGTGAGTACATGTTAAAAAACAGAAAAAATTACAAGAAATGTTTGAAGAATTTTTGGAGCATCAAAGTTAGAGTATGAAGTTCAAAGATCGAAAATTCTGAAGAAATTCAAAGTTGAAGATACCAAAAATCAAACAACAAGGTGGTGAATTCAAAGAAATTAAAGATCAAATGTCAAAAAAGTGAAGAATTTCAAAGAGCTCCAATGTGGTATCATAAATTGTAACTGTCTAGATTATGTATGCTTGGGTTGCTCAACCAAAAATACCTTGAGGTTAAGAGGTTTTCTGAGGATGGATTCGGAGGGATGCATAAAATGAGCATTGTTCAGAAAAAGTGGGCGAATATTTATGAGGACTGTGAGTATTTGGAGTATGGGGGGTTATTAGGAAAATTTTAGACACAAATGCATGTGTTGCGGTCTTAGCATAATGGTTGGGTTTGATTGGAGGTTTCTTATGAGATTCTAATGTGTTATAATTCAGTTTTGCTTGGGGGCAAGCAAAAGTCAAGTGTGGGGTACTTTGATATTTGCATATTTAGCCTTATATTAAGTATAGATTTTTATCATTTATTAGCTAATTTATTGCATATCATGGACAAAAGATACTTAAATGTGTTTGAATTGTGTTTTCAGTCCAAAAACGAAGCTCAGAAGCAAAAGGAACCAGGAGAAGCGGTTAAGAGCTCGGGAGTTGAATAAAGAAGATAAATGCTAAAAATACAAGGTACTCGGCGAGTCGCATCGAAGAATCGAGATGATAAGGACTCTCTGACTTACCGTGCATAGGAATTAAGTGATAGACTCGATGAGTCAGTTATAGACTCGGCGAGTCGGTGCGAATCTATAAAAACAACTTTCGAGATCGAAACAAAGAATTCTGGAACCCTTGGGGAGAAGCAAGCTGCGAATTAGAGTCAGGAGAGATCTGGAGAACGAAGACACAACCCTAAACCTAATCCCGAAGAAGATTTGAGGCAAATTTACATCATTCTTACTTTAATCTATTGTTCTTCATCATGTTTAGACTTTTACATTTCGTTTTTGTGCTGTTAACTACCTCAATCATGAGCTAAAACCTTTTAACTTCTGTTTGGGGAGACAATATTGATATTATGGTTTGATATATGGTAGGATTGATTTAATATTGGTGATTTTGTAGATTCTAGCTTGTTAAAGAACCTTATGTGTGAAAGATAACTATTTTTCTGTTAATAGGAAGATAATTAAGTTGCATGAACATCTCTTAATTGTTACCTCATATAATTTATGTGACCACTTTATTATACGACTAGGATTAGCGACTGTGAAACTAGTATTAATAGAAAAATAGGTAAATTCATATGTGAGCTTGTGTGATGACCATCAATAAGAGGTTAACTAAAGGACCAAATTAGTTAGCTATTACAAGTCTAAATTAACCCAAATAAATAACCTGGTGAATTAAATTAAATTAGACAACTGGCCACTGTTTGAGTTAGTTTTCTCTCTAAGGATTCGTGCAGCGAACGTGAATCTAATCACTTGAATCGGTAGCCAATAGAAGAATTAATCCATTGCACTATTACCATAATATCAACCATAGGATCAATTGAGTTGAACTAAACAGAAGTTCCCTTCGTTATTGAATTTAGTTGAATCTTTGCTTTTCTATCTTTTAGTTTAAGTAATAGTTAGTAAGTTTCTATTCTCGTAAAACTAGAGAAAACCCCTTTTATTATCTTATTTT